TTGTTTTTTTGGCTATTGTTGCTGTGGTATTTGATGTATAGAAATAGTATGTCTCATTATGTAGTTGTAAGTTTGTATATTTTGACTCTGCGAGTTTGGTTTCTGTTATGCTTATTATATCTATGTTTTTCTTTTTGCAGTAGTTGAGCCATAGTTGTCTTTTGATGTCATCATTGAGTCCATGTATATTGTGTAAAGCTAGGTTAATAGTGTTTGTTTGTATATAGTTGTTTGTGTTGTGTGTGTTAGTTGTATATTCGTTTTTGTTATAGTTTTTTGAGCTTGATATGATTAGATGAAGATGTCCCAAGTTGGTTTTGGGAGAGGAGGAAGTTCTAGTATGTAGTCTGGGATTTGTGGTATTTTGAAGTGTTGTTGAAGTATTGATATCGTGAGTTAATTTCCTTTTGTTGTTTGATAGGTACGTTGATGTAGATTTCATCAGTAATTTTTTCAAGTGCTTCTTGTAGTTCAACTAGATTTTTTGGTATCATTAGTTTTTTGTTAGTTTTGATTTTGTGGATTTCGTTAGGTGTGATAGGTATATTGATCCATTCTAGTGGAATATGTTCAAAATAGTATTCTTCTCTAAGGAGTTTAGCTGTTTCTACTAGTATTCTAGATGATGTAATAGGTACTGTGATATTGAATGCTTTGATCTCTGTCGGGTCTAAAGGTAGTCTTGGTTTGTTTGTAGGGTTGGCTGTCAAGATTGCCTTGTTTATAGAAAAGATTATCTTATATTTTGTCTTTGCCTCTTTAAAGAATTCTTGTGCTATTTTGTCATCAGTAATCGGATAAGCAAATTTGGTGTGTAGTTTAATTTGGCTTGGTTCCTGTGATAATACAGGTTTTTGTATGAAGAAGTCATTTGGTATGCTTCTAAACTTGTAGTATTTTCTGAGTGCTTCTGCTATGTCTCTAATATTTGTTTCTTCTAATGATGGGTCGATAGGGAAGAGGTGTCTAACTCCACTATTTAGTTTGTGGTAAGTTAGTGGTAGAGGTTCTTGTTCTGGTGGTAGAGCGAAGTATGTTGCAGGTATTTTAGTAAAGCTGTAGTGGTCAATGAGTTTCTTTTTATAGAATCATAGCTCTTTTAGTTGGTTTGGATCTGTAATGGGAAAGTAAATTTTTAGTTCTTCTTTTAATTCTGATGGTTTGTTTGGAAGTTTTGGTAATGTAGTAAAGTAGGTGTCTGATAGGCTTGGAAAGTTAAAAATCACACTGAGAGTTAACAATTGCTTTTGTTTGAGATCTTTGCTTGATTGGTAATTCAAAGAGTAATATGTTTTTGTTTTGGCTGTCTATTTCCTCAGAAGTTTCAGGTAGTTGTTGTCATTGGATGCTGTATGCTTGATTAACTGCTGTTTGGATTTGTTTGTAGTCTGTGCTAGGTTTTGCGCGGATAAAGTTTCAGCTGTATTTGATTATCTGATATTTCTTGCTTGGTGGGAGTTGTCTAAAGTTGAGATTTGTAAGATATTCTATCATTAATTTTTGTCTCAGTTTGTGTTGGATTATGTCTCTAGTTTCTCTATTTGTTAAAGTGATTTCGTTTTTGTCTTTGTATTTAGTAATAGCTGCTTTGAGTAAGTTAGTAAATTCTTTTTGGTGTGCAAATGTAGTTTGTCTATTTTGGGTGAAAGATGTAAAGAATGCAGGATCTAGATATTTGAATTTAAGGAGAATAGCCTTTGGAATCTGGTGTTGTGTAGGTTGTGTTGTTAGTTTGTATTGTATAAATTCTTTGATACCGTTTGTGTCATCGAGTGCTGTAATTATCTTGTCTATTGGCCAAATCCTGTAGTCGAACTTGTTTTGATTTTGGTAGTCTAATTCTTGAAGTATATGTTTAATCCAACTTTGTGTTTGCTCGTGCAGTGCTTCTTCATCTATTTGCATTTGATCTTGTTGAGGGATATTTTGTTGTAGTACATGGCTGTACGATTTTTGTTGGGTGTTGATATTTTGGTTTCCTGTTTTATTTTGGTCATGGGTTGTAGATGTTGTATTTTCTATATCTACCTGCATGGCTGTTGTTTTGGGGTTATTTACTGTATTGGATGTTGGGTCATGTGTTTTGTTTGTTGGTGGCTGTGTTTGTGCATCGCTATATTTGTGTTGTTTTGTGTGTTTGTGTTTCCTGTGATTGTTGTGTTGTTGTTGTTATTTCCTGTTATGGTTGTTGTTGTTTTGTTCTGTATAACATATGATGTCATAGTGTGTTTTGGCAAGGGTAAGCTGTTTTGCCTACTTTTTGTCGATTTTTTGTAAGTTGTAGAGATGGGTATGTTGTTGTAGCGACGTCTTTTGCTTTGGGCAGAAGTTTGTTGGTTGTTGTTTGTATTCTGTGTTTCTTAGTTGTCTATACTGTTATCTATTGGTAACTTGGGTGCATATACTGATATATATGTGTTGTTTTGCTCTTGCAAGCTGTTTCCTTCTACCAAGTCCGTTAAGGACTGGTTGTTGATGTTTTTAGTTTTCTTGTTGTGTTTTTTGTACTGTTGTTGTTTTGTTGTTATGTTAGTTGTTGTGTCGGTTGTTCTCTTGTGTTTTATGTTAATTTTGTCTATATTCTAGCTTTATTTAGGTCTTTTTTGAATATCTTTCTTCTATATTTTGTTGATTTTTGTAATTTTGGGTAATCGTCAGAAAGAGTTTTAATATTTGTTCAATTTCTCTATATATTTTTATAGTAATATATTTATATATATTTTAATAAATATATAGTAATTTATTTGATAATATATAATAAATTTATAGTAAATTAATTAAATAATATTTTATGGTAATATATTTATATATATTCTAATAAATATATATTAAATGGTGTGGCGACTTAGTGAAGTGGTTAAGTTGTCACACCCCCAAGCGGCATGTTGGCAGGTGGGGTTCGAAACCTACCAACGGCGAAATTTCAAATATTCTGTTTGTACAATGGCTACTGTCTTTTGACGATTGGTTAGACAGGATCTCTGTAACCTTGGTGGCACCAACAAAATTGGGAGATCATGGGGCATTCATGCAACGTATAAGTTACATAAAAGCATGCAAGCCGGTATTAGTCAGTGCAAACCCAAGATAAGACCTTGAGTTCGTATAAACCCAGGGAACAGGAAAGATGAATGCCCGCTTGGCAAGATCTGAGTAGAGAAGTAGCACAAACCTTCGACAGTGGCTACTGGATAGGCTTCACTCAAGGCTGACATAATTAGATGAGGACCGGGTATTTGGAGGGAAGGTACTCCACCAACCAGGCCGCCGGAATCGCCGGAGGAAAAGGATCTGCAATACAGATACCAAGAGACAGGTGTCCCATCTGGGCCATCTGGATTGTAGTCTAGGGAGACCCGGCTAGGAGTACTGAAAGGGAAGGTACCGGGTTGACTTGAAGGGGAGAAACCGGGGTTTGGGTGAACTCTACAAGGGCAGACTAGATAATGGTAGCAGCTTCGGCTCGCAAGTGCTTGGCCTCGGCCTAGGCATAAGTTACTAAAGTAGACTAGGTAATACGGTAATAGTGGGTACCAGACTACTCTAGCAGGTGATGTACTCGAGGATGAATCGGTTAAAAAGCCGGTAGTCCTATAGGTAGTCTGCGACAATCCTGGAACTTAGACTGACTAATGTATCGCATGTTCCGGGTGAGATTAGATGGATTGGCATAGAAAACTCGGATCAGAGGGTTTAATTAGATAATCCAAATAATAGTGGATTATAGGTACGGCATCTAGCATAGTACTCAGTATAACTACTTAATTAGGTGCTCAAAAGGCATAGATATGGCTAGAATGTATCCTCGTCAGAATGTACTTGTCTGGGGCCCCCTTGAAAGGGCACCACATGATTCTATAATCTAATAAAAGCGACGAGCCAAAGAGGTTAACCTTGATTACAAAAAAAAAAAAATATATATATATTAAATATTTAGTAAATTTATTAGATAATATATAGAAGAAAATTTCTTAGCGTACACGGTGTGTATTATACACGGATATTAATTTGCAAATCTGTGTAATGTGTAAATCAAAACAATTTGTATAAAATGAAAAATTAAATCATACTTCAGGTTAGGGTAAGAGTGCATTTAGGATTGAGGCGGATTATAGCCTATACCAAAATTTCACAAGGAATTTTTTTTGTTAGAATCCAAAAGGTGGTTTTATAAGCGAAATTTTTAGATAGAGGTAATATTTTAGAGAAAGCAATAATTTCACATTACATCTGATCGTGCAATCTGATTGGCTTTCTATATACCCGTGTACAAACATCACGTGTATAAATAAAAATTGCCTATATAGAAAATATATAAAAATAAGTAATAATTTGTATTAAATATTAACTATATATTACTATATGACTATAAATATTTTAAAATCATTACTTAGTTATATATAGTTAAAATATAAATATATTTATTATATATTTTTAAAATATTTTTCTAAAAATATATATTATTTTTACTAGTACATGTTATTATATTGTAAAAATTGAAGAAGTTTGTATTTAATAGATATAAATTATATATTGTTGCTAAAGGTATTAAAGTATCCTATAATAATAGGCTGCAAGTTGTTAGATGTTGCTACTAATAGCCATTAAATAATAGTATTCTGAATCTTAAATCATAGTTGTAGATTGTCACAAGGTAAGTAAACAGAAATAATTCTAAATCTAAAGTTATGTTTAAATAGAATATCAATTGCAATTACATATTTAGCAAAGGTGAGTATTTTATGAACATGTGATTTGAGCCAGTTTTTTAGAATAATTGCAGTGCCTGCTTTAGAGCTATCTATGTAGAACTAGTAATAGGTAAAGTTTCTAGATTTATGAAGCTTAGCTTGAGCATTTTCTTAATGAATTTTAGTTTTAGTTATATCTATTATATTAAGATTATTAGAAAGATAATAGTTTTCTCAAACTTGCTACTTAAGATCTATGTTAAATCTTCGAATATTATAAGTACAAATGAACAAGTTGAAAGGTTGGTCTTAGTTGTAGTCATTATTTCTAGATGTAGATGAAGTGGAAGGAAGAGTAGGCCTATTTAGCTTAGATCTTAATAGAATATCATCTAAGTCATATATCATAGAGTAAATATGATAGTTTAGTAATATATTAAAGTTATCAAATAAGTAAATATATGCTTCAGTTTTATCATTATTAACTGTAATAAGAAGGTAACATGCAAGATGCTTAGCATTGTTTTATATTAAATGTTGTCTAAATGAAATGATAGTTTGTAGTTCACTTAAAGAGGTAATTATAGTATATATCCAAATCATAGAAGTCTAGTGATGTTGGTAATGATTTGGATAAAATTTCTTCTATAGAGATGCTCACTATTTTAGCTCAGTTCTCACAGCTGCAAAAGATTCTATAGTCTGCTGTATATGTTCAGTCTAATCAGCATAAGTTTGGTCTACTACGTAAACCTAATATTTTAATTAACTAATTTAGTATATTTGTTTTATAAATAAAATATTAAAATTTTATTTTTTTATACTTTTTATTTTTATTATAAAATTACATATAACAAAAGTAAGAAATTATAAGAAATGTACTGATTATAAAGCATAAGTTCTTTAATTTATTTTGACTATTAAAGCTAAGTTTTATATTGAATAAACAATTCAGAATTTTTTCTGAACTAGTTATAAAGATTTCAAATTTTATTTAATGCATGCAAATAATTTGTAAGGTTGATAATATAAACTACTATCATTATATCTTAAAATTTTAAATATCATTTAAATACAATTAGACCTCAATATAATTACCAGGTTAGAAAATAAATATTTGGTGATTATAAAAAAGTATAACTATATAAAGGTCAAATTTTATATATTTTATAATGTCTAGGATTAAGAAATAGTATAACTATAACAAAGTTGTGATTATATCAAAAGTGACTATAATGAGGTTTGACTGTAGCTGAATTGTCTATAGTTTTTAATTAGCAATTTTATAAATTAGTAATGTAGCTAAATTTCCTTAAATAAAGTTAAAAACAAAATAAAAAATAATAATATACTATAATTTAACCTTCACTCTCCTCAAACCATTTATTATCATTAATTTTCTTTTGAATTCTTAAATTTTGATAAGCTGATACAAGTTTTTTATCTAATTATTATTTAAAAAGCTTAATTTTTATTATAGATAAATCTAAAGTTTGACTAATTCTGCTTAGCTGATGCTGAAAAAATTGAAATCAAAAAAACTCAACAGATAAGTTCAACTACAATTAAAATATGATTTTACCAGCTAATAAGATTTATATATTTTACAGATACTAAAGTAAGGCTTCTAAATATTTATCATTTTAACAATATATTTTTGTATAATTTTATAAATCTTTATTATAAAACAGTAATAATAAAATTATAAATAAAAATACTTTAAAAAATATATATTTATTCTTATAGATGCTGCAGATTCAAAGTATGGATTGTTTTAAAATATGGTATAATAATTGTTTTAATATCAATAACTTGTTATAAAAACTAAAATTTAAAATCTTTTTAATAAATATAATATGATAATTATTATTGCAATATATACAATAATAAATATAATATACTTAAGATCTAAAAGGTTTGCAATTGCTATTGCAGAATGAAAAACAAATTTAAATTGTTTTTTAATTAAATTGTTAATATGTAAACTAAAATTTGAATTTAGGTTTTAAGTATTAATTAATTTCTGAAGCTTTTGCCATTTATAATATATATATGAAATTTTTTTTGTTTTTTTTTTCCTTTATCGGCAGCCTCACCGATATCTTTATTAGATCAAAGCATATATATACATATATTTAACTATCTAAACTATAGATCTGACATTCCCCAGCTACCTCTATAGACGCCCAAGGATGGTCTGCCTCACCAGTTAAGGCTAATGCCCATACCAGAAGGCTACACCAAGCTAGCCATTGAAGCCATACCAAAATGGCTTCATACTATTTACAATAAAGTCTTTAACTGCAGCAAACAAGTATTTTCTTTTCTGTTAGCCTCCTTCTCTTTAATGTTTTCTTCTTTCTTTTTAACCTTTCCCTTAGTTTGCTCTTGGCTGTGACTAAATTCCCCACGATCCACGTTTAACTCATTTCTGCTGGTAGCTGTTTTTCCAACTTTGGGTCTCTTTTCTTTCTTCTTTTTCGAGTTTATTCCATTTTTCTTTTCCCAATCATTAAGGAATGCACAT